TCTCAATTTGCAGCTGTAATTATTTAAATCAAATCAGTTTTCCCAGTGCACTCGTTCGCCTTGGTTATTCCACTTGCATGCAGTTTTCAATTTCGAGTTGATTCAATTATTTATTCCACTCGAATATTAATCACAGCTGATGCGCATCTGTCACGCACTGTGCCGTGTTGTCGTCTACTCGCTCTGCAAGTGGCCCACGCGGCCTTCTTAATTTTGATTGATCGGCTGCTAAAACAGCTGCCACGTGCCCTCGCCCTCACCCTCGCCCTGGTCCACGCCCTCGCCACGCCTCGGTTGCTGCGGCGCTGCACAAAGCAATTAATGCCAAGCAACGCTCAGTGCACACATTTAATCAAATGCGAGTGACATGACATATACCCGTGTCCCGAAACCACCTGCTTAACTCTCTCTCTCTCTCTCTAGCTCCAGCTGCAGTATTTCCGTTTTAATCATTGCCAAAATCCGTCTTACAGCTAATGCCAAATTGCTTTTGCTCGGGCTGCTGCTGCAGCACAGTGCGATTTGCTTAGACAACTTCATTTGCCGTCAAGATGTTTTGCCCAAAAGAAATTGTTGAACAGCGAAAGCAACAAAGGAGAGACGCAGAGAGAGAGAGAGGGAGAGAGAGGGGAGGAGAGATGTATAGCAAATACTTGCAATGCGCTGCAGATTTGCCACTTTTGTATCAATTTCAATTTCTGCCAGCTGAAACTTCGCTTTAATGCCTCACTTAAGCGCAAACGTGCCACGAATTTGCAGTTTGTTTTTCTTTTTTTTTTTTATAACAATTTCTTTTTTCCCTTTGGCTGACAGCTGGCGTTGCCTGCACAAGCAAATGTTTGCTTACATATGTGAAATTGTGCGAATGTGCGAGATTTGGTTGCGATAGCAATAACAACAACAACAGCAGCAACAACAGCGACAGCGACATATAAACACTCTATCAAATATTGTAATTTTTGACAGCGAGTGCGAGCAATGAAATGATTTTTTCTACCTCTTAGCGAGCGGGGGCTGCTCTATGTATGTGTGCGTGTGTGCGTGCGTGTGTGTGTAGGTGCCAATGGCAGGCAACTCTCACATTTGACATTCAAAAGTCATTGATAATTATGGATGAAACGTGAACGACAGCCGCATCGAGGGATCACAATCAATTCTTGATTAGAAAACGCAGCTCGACAACAGAGGTCGGCCACCTGTCCGGGCAACGGATAAGGGTGTATGCCTCTGTATGCCAAGTGGGCGTGTCTGGGTGCGCACGCGTGTATGTCAATGTGTGTGTGTGTGGGTGTGTGCGTGTATTTGATTGTGTGCGTAAATTGAATTTTGATTTTGCACCGATGCTGAGATATGGCATATTAGGCCCAAGTAATCAGATGTGGGGTGGGCGCAGGAGGCAGGGGCGCAGGAGGCGGCAGCACTGGCTCCAGGACTATAGGCATTTAATCTTTTGTGTGTGTTTACTTGTGTGTGTGTGTGCGTGTTTGGGGCTGCCCATTTAGGCTTACCCAGACACAATCCATTGTCAAGCTCCAGCTCCAGCTCCTGCTGCTGCTGCTGCTTCTGCTGCTTCTGCTGCTGCTACTCCTGCTGATGATGGAATTCGACAACACTTTAACTGTGGGCGGACATGGGCTATTGCCGATGCTACACTCCGGGTCATATCAATTAAAAATTCATGAATCATTTGACAAACTCTTTGGGTCTGCACAAATTGTAGCCATTCGACGGGGCCAATCAGTCGGCGTTCAGATTTGATGCTGTCAATTTGGCAGTCAACGTTACGCTTGGGCTTTTCGTTTTTTGCTAGGCCATTGCCATTGTTTGTCACACACACACACACACACACACACACACATACACTCATATAATAGCCAATTGTAGATGCAGAGTAATCTGTTGTGAAAGGTACAAAACTCGTTAATTCCCCGAGTTGTGTCCTTTTTGTCAGCCTTCTAAAGGGTTTTCCATTACATTAGCGTCGATTGTTCCCAGATCTTTGCTGTTGCTGATGAAGTGACTTTTGACTAGCTGTACGAAATAGTGTTTGATGTATACCCAAATATCTTGATGGCAACTTGGCTGAAAGTACTTTTGCCCATTGCCCCTTATTGTCGTTAATTTGATGCCAAAAAGTTGGGCTGCCCATGGCTGTGGACTTATTTGTGTAGCACACCTCGTTGCCAGGGTTGCCAGAGCTGCCAACATTCCTGCTGATGCTGCTACTGTTGCTGCTGTCTGCTTGCAACAGTTCCGTTCGGCAGTTTCCGTTCGGCTTGATGATTTCATGGAAAACTTCATTGAGCAAGCGGAAACTATTTCATTTGGCGCTATAAATGTTGTCAGGTGTACTGTGTGGTGGGGCGGCGGCGCGGGGGTGCGGCAGTGCGGCAATGCTGACTGCCGCTGGTAAGTGGGTGAGTGCTTTTTGAGTGTTTTGGAAGTTTTCAATATGGTAGCTGCCACAAAAATGATTGAGGCCACGGGCTGGCTATTTAAAATACAAGCGCTCTGCTTATGAAAATGTTGCGAATTCATTTTGACAAACCAGAAAAGCTGAAAATCGAAACTGAACTAGAAAAGCCAGCAGCAGCAGCAGCAGCAGCAGAAGCAGCAGCAGTCAGTGTGGAAAAGGGTTTTCAGCATAAATGAAAGACTTTAATTAAAAAAGCTGTAACTAAGCTAAGGAAAACTGCATGAAAATGTGAAAAATTAATTAAGTCATATCAAAGCAACTCAAAGCCCGACCGAAATAGCCAAAAACAGAATGAATGAAAGAAGGAGAGAAAGAGAGAGTAGAAAGATGCTTAAAATGCGAAAAGAGATGAAATATCGGACACAAAATCTGACATATTCCAGCTAAAGTCCATGCTGAATGCTAATTAAGTGCAAAGAGCTTGTGAGCAAGCTCACAGTGTTGTAAAACGCCTTTAAGCCACTCGCACAATGCTCGTTGAGGCGCTTTAATGGCTTCCTCACTTGCTCAGCTCCATTATATATAAATTTATGTATATATAGCCTTCCCAATTAATCAGAGCTACAAGCGATGCACCTCAATTCGATTCAATGGAATTGCCTTGCGCCCCTCGTAACTTCCCTTCCCTCAGCCCAGTGAAACCCCTTGGCAGAGCTCGGGCAGAAGACGCTTTGATGTGCTTGTGCTGCCGGGTTTCCCTTTTTATTTTTATTTTTTTTTATTTTTGGCAATTTGAACTCGGAAAATATTTATGTTGCCTCTTTCTTGTTGCTGACGAAGTGGAGCCAGCTCACGTTTGGGTATTTGCATGCCTTTGCACTCCTTCGATTAATATAAAATTTGATTAAACTTGGCCAACGACAAACGACGATGAGGGCGACGCTGACGACGTCACTTGTGGGTTAAGCACACATGACTTTGCTCCTGCTGCTGCTGCTGCTGCTGCTCCTGCTGCTGTTTCTCTGAGGATTTGGGCGTGGCTGGTGTGCAAACACAGTCGAACACATGCCACTTGACAGTTGCCCATTTGCCGCCCGCAGCCCGTAGCCCGCTCTAACCGACGCGTCGGGCAGTCAAATAAATAACTTGTAAAACATGCATATGAGCAAAAATGTTTGAAAATTGCCAAAAACGTAAAACGAGAGAGCAGGGAGTGGGTGGGGGATGGAGAGGCGGGCGGGCATGTGGGTGTAGCGTAGTAACCAAAGCCGAAGAAATGGGGCCAAGGAATCGACGGGTCTGCCTCAGCCAGAGCAACAGCAGGAGCAGCAGCAGCAGCAGCAGGAAGCGAAGACGAAACGAATAAACACATTGTAAATTGATTTCCTTGGGAACTCAAATAAAAATGGCATGAACAGCAACAGCAACAGCAACGGCAGCAACAGCAGCAAGTGAGCGACATTGTGGGCGTGGCTGGGCGCTGATAGCTGGGGCCAGCAGCCAGCACCACCCAATTGAAACGAATGAATGGGCAAACCAATTTTTATTGCCACGCGGGACACGTAGCGAACGAGCGCGCGCACCACAGCCTCAGTGCCGTTGCCCGTTGCCCGTTGCCCGCACGGGACCAAGCAGCCACGCCCCCAGCCTCTGTCCGCCTCTATCCGCTATGCCCTGGCTGCCTTGTCTCCTGTCCTGTTGCGAAAGCAAAATTGGCGCACTGGGCTCTCTCTCTCTCTGTGTGTGTGTGTGTGGTGAGAACGGAAGGAAGTCGCAGGATGGGCCCAGGCAGAGCAGAGCTGTCGTTCTCGACCCGGCTTTTGATGGAATGCTCGCTAGCCAGTTCGCCTCGATAACATGGCCAAGAAACTGTTTGCCATTGCTTTAGCCAGGCCATCTCCTCTCCTAGCAGCTGCTCCTGCTGCCCCTGCTGTTATTTTGTTTCGATTCGTTTTCTGAGTCGTCTTTCTTTCCTCTGATTGTTGTTGTTGTTGATATTGCTGCCATTACTGTTGTTGTTGTTGTTGTTGTCAATTGTTGTCCATCCGCCCTCCCCTTCGTTCAGGGCTGGCTTTCGCCTCGTGTCCCACGTTGCCAACTTCACTAAAAATGCAGGCGAGAGAAGACAAATTGCTTTATCGACGACATACGTAACAAATGTTGCTGTCGGCAGTGACAACGGCAGCAACAGCAACAGCAGCAGCAGCAATGGCAATACAAACAACGACAACAACATGGAGCCAGTCAACCATTATTGGTATCAAATGGCTTACGGGGTCGCTTCGACTCATTGCGATTCGTATCGGGTTGAATTGTAAGTGTATGTGTGTGGGTGAGTGTGTGTGTGTGTGTAGTGTGGGACCTGCCTGACTGGCACTGTTAATTATGACTTAATTATTTCAATTATTGCTTGGCAGACTTATTACATTTTCTCGTTGTCAACAGCGACGACCTCATCTGCCTCTCTCCCACTCTCTCTCTCTTTCTATATATATAAATTTATATGTATGTATATGTATTTGTATAAACTTGTAGCTGTATGTGTTTGCTTATACATTCTCAATTTATGCATCATCTCTTGCAGATCTCGGACGATGATCGAATGAGCCTAACTACTGCCGTTTCGGATGAAGATGATGGCGAAAGTGTCATGGCGTCACCATATAAAGCAAAGGCCACTGGCACCGCTGCATCCTCCTTCAACTGCACGGGCGCTGTGCGTAAAGCCGGGTAAGTTACTCGCATCCAGCTGCCGTTAATCACTGGCACGAAACTATGCCCAAGGGCATAGCAGCAGCAGGAGCAGCATTAGCAGCAGGAGCAGGAGGAGCAGGCACGTGTGGTGGGCTCCCCAAACAACAGCTAATCATAAATAAAGTAGAAAATAGCTCAACGCTTGGCATATCATTTACAGCTATTACAGCCGAACGCATTCCGCCATGATAAAGCGTGCGTGTGTGTGTGTGTGTGCCCGCCGAGACTCCAGAAGGGTAGAGCGAAAGAGAGAGAGAGAGTGAAAAGAAAGTTGTTGAATGTAAAACGAGACTGCAACAAGCTGGCACGTTTACAGTTACTTATTAGCTAATGAACCCAACTATCCGCATTGGAAAACACGAATCCCTATTTTTCCTTGCATGGAAAAAGTACTGGAAACAGATTTCAATATAGCTAAATGAGAAAAGTTTCCTTTTAAGTACTTTCTCATCAAATTTATACGAATTCATGTTGTTTGCAATTCCATTTTTGGAATTCTCAACTGATTTTGGCCTCCGGCACGTTTTATAGCACTCCGCTGATTCGAGAGCTTACAAAGTCAGCTCACACTTTGCAGAGTTAAATTTAGTTCAATTCTCTGAAGTAATACTGTAAATGCATACATACATACATACATATTTGCCTGATGCCGGCCCGCTCTTGCTGCTTATTAGCTGTTGCTTATTTAACATCGATTTGATTACATTTTTTCCATGTTCTCTCGTTCCGCCCTCAGCTTTCTATCGGTAAAGAAATGGCTGCTACGTAAGAAGCATCAAATCGAGCTGGCTCGCAAGCGTGGCTGGAAGGGCTACTGGGTGTGCCTGAAGGGCACCACGCTCCTCTTCTATCCGTGCGATTCGCGCGAGGGCCGCAGCGTCGAGGCGGCGCCCAAGCATTTAATTATTGTGGACGGCGCGATTATGCAGCCAATACCGGAGCATCCGAAGCGCGATTATATATTCTGTCTGAGCACCGCATTCGGCGATGCCTATCTGTTCCAGGCGCCCTGTCAGGTAAGTGCCGTTCGGCAGGATATGATGCGTGTCGCGCTTAATGGGAGTCCGGCCACGCCGCAAGTCCTTCAACCGTAAGACTTTCATGCTGCAATTAGAAAAGGCATCAGGCCTGGCCCCGCCTGCGGCCGGTCGACCATAAAAGCTGGCCTTGTCCAGCCAACTGACACGACTTGGACTTGGACGACATGGCGACAACTGAGGCGTCTTGTTTGCCTAACGATACCAAGGATATATCTATCAGCCGCTGTGTATGCCTGTGTGTGTGTGTGCGTGTGTGTGTGTCGAGTTCAGCGCTCGCGGGCTTTCAACAGACCCCATTCGCAATCGCACACCCACACAGCGACAGCTACATAGAGCGCCTGCCTCAAAGGCGTTAACTGATGCAGACCCCGCAACTGGCTGAAATGCAAATCGCTTGGCTTAAAGTGCGATTGGGGCTGTGTAGGCGACAGCCAGCTAACTGGCAAGGCAGATTGCCTTGAACTAATAGTTGCTGCCTGACATGGTCCTTGTGCCTAAACTGTGACATGTCTCTGAGGCATAAGCGCCGCTCTCACCTGGCCGCCTCCTGCCAACCGCCTGACTGCCTGACTGCCTGACTGGCTGACTGACTGACTGGCTGACTGTAATTCAGCGTTTTGCCTGGTCGCCTCAGTGATTTGTCATTAAATTTGCATAACTGATAGTCAGCCAGCAATGGCAACGACAACGACAACAACGACAGCAATAGCAATAGCAACAACAACAACAACAACGACAACATTGTCGACATTTGGCACAGGGGAGCAACGTCAAATTTGTTGCATTTGGCCGCTGCAATTTGTTGTCTAGCTCACACTCATATCTTTCTCTCTCTCTCTTTCTCTCTCGTTACCTGCACAGGTGGAGCTGGAGAATTGGGTAAATAGCATACACAGCGCCTGTGCCGCTGCATTTGCGCGTCATCGCGGCAAAACGGGAACACTGCATCTGCTGCAGGAGGAGATCTTTCGCCTGGAGAAGGCCATTGAATCGGTAAGTGAATGCCAACGTTTTACTTAACATACCAAGCCAAGTCATGGGCGCGAGTATGCCTGGGCATATTTATAAATACATATATATGTACATTCTATATACATGTGTGTGTGCGTGTGTGTGTGCCTGGATATTGAGTTGAATTATTGCCATGCATTTTCGACTCGACTCGTTGGAAATAGTTGAGCTCCTTCAGTGGAAATTCAAGTGATGAGAATTGAAATTGTGTATTGAGCATAAAAGCTGTTTGTCGAGTACACCCAGAGCTACCGAAAGCAACGGCATTATTATGAAAATGATATGCAAAAAAGATATATACATATATATACCTATACACATATATGAAAAGTAGAAAAGTAAAAAAGCAGCAAAGTAAAACGAAAAACGAAAAAGCATATCTGAAGACATGTAAATTCCATGATTTATGAACCCAACTCGTTTGCATATTATATGGAAGAATACAAAATACATTGTGTGCATGTGTGTGTGTGTGTGTGCTAATAGAGCTAAAGGCTAGACTCAGAGAGGCAAAAATGAAGAAGGCTCGCTTTAATATTGATTTAATGCAGATGCCAGAGAGTGAAATGAATTCGTTTCACTATCTTGTAATCTCATTTGAGGGCAGATCAAATTTCTAGCACACCTGGCCGTGTGAATCCCTAACAATCTAAATAGACAACAAAATAAATCCAAGTAAAACCATTAAATCAATCAATAAAATTATCCTCAAGCCACTCGTGTACATTCAATTTGAGCTGCGGGAAAGTTTCGTTCCATCGTTACGTGCTGCCATCTCATTGATATGCAGCGCATGCCTCTGTATATTTCGGCACCTAATCAGTCGTTAAAGTAATCAACAACAAAGCCAAATTGTACGAATACATCAATTCGCAATGATTTCTCAACTCGACTTGGCGCAACTTTCTTGCTTTTTCTTTGGCCAAAGACACAACAAACGCATTTCGTATACGCCACACACACATAAAGAGAGAGAGAGTGAGAGAGAGGGAGAGTGACTGAGTGGGAGTGGGAGTGAGAGATTTCCCAGCCCAATTTCTCAATTTGTGCCGCCATCTAGCAGAGCATCTAGCCAATTTCTCAGCGTGTTGCTCCCCAAAGATTTATGCGCTGCCCTGTTTCTGTTTTCTTCTCGGTGGCTCTGCTCCATTTATGTATTTGCTTTCAAATCAATTCCCCATCAATTTCGCGTCGCGGCCTCACAGCAACAGCATCTCGTTCTTGCCAGCCTCGACTGCATTGCAATTTATTTGCACAACTTTATGGCCAACAGCATTGTGGCCAAAATAAAAGCAAAAACAACAACAACAACAACAACAACCAAACCAAATAGAGCTGCTGGCTCTCAGTACAAGGAACTGCACTTCTGCCACACACAATAAATGGCTGGATAAACTCAGCCAAAGTGCCGGCAAGAAATGCTGAGAGAAATGCTGCGAGCCGGTTGAGCAGTTGAGCCGCAGCCTTGGGGCTGCCTGGCTCTACGGTGTCATCCTGTATATCCACAATTTCCCTTCGCTATTCCGCGCATTCGTTTATTTATTTTTGCATTATGTCATTTGCAGGCCATGGAGAAAGAAATAAATAAATAAATAAAAAAGCAAATTTTGCGGCCGATTGTTTGGCTTGGCTGGGCGCAGCTTGTATACCCTGCAATTGAGCTGTGGCAGGGTGGCTGCTATGCCTAGGGAATGCTCTATAAACTATACTCATATCTCGCCCACATTGAGCTGCTGTTCTTGTTGTTGTTGTTGTTGTTGGGCAAAGAATATCATTTGGTACGGCGCTGAGCTTATCCAACTCCTACCCAGGCCTGTCCAGTCTCTGCTTCATTCCACGCCGACTTCATTCATTCGTCTCTGTCGCATTTCCCTCGCGACTTGCCCCTTTTCTAATTTAGTTTTTCTCATTTACACGTAAAGTTGAAGTTTGATGTTATGAATCGTCGTCGTCTTCTCGTTTTCCTTTCACATTTTCTTGCTATCATTACTCCTGCTACTGCTGCTGCTGCTCCTGCTACTGCTGCTGCTGCTACTACTTCTGCTCCTGCTCCTGCTGCTGCTCTGTCTATCTGTCTCTTTGGATAAACCATAATTACTTCCTTGAACGCTGCGTTTTTCTGTCCACTTTCCCACTCATAAGTTTTCAACTGTTGTTGATTTTCTTTTGCTTTCTCTTCATTTTTTTTTTCTATAATTTTGTTTTTATAATCATTTTTTTTCCTTTGCTTGTTTTGTTTTGGGCTTTGTTTTATTTGGTTTACTGCGCACGGCCACAGTCCGAGACTGTCGCAAGAGTCACTTCGCAGTCAGCTCGTTTAGTTTTCAAGTGCCACGCCCACTGTGGCCAGTGCTTAGGTGCCCGGTTCCGCTCGGTGCTGCCAAAGTTTGCCGGATGAATATTAATTAAATGAGCTGCCGGAGTGGCCGCAAAACTGCATTTGCATTCGCATTCGCATTTGCATTCGCATTACAATTTTTGGTTTTTGCATTCGCATTTGTTGTTAATTAATTTTGTGTGCAAAAAAAAGAAATGAGAAATATTAAAGTGCCATCGGATAAACAAAGCCAGCAAGTCATAAAGCAGCAGCTCAGCTGAAGGAGTCGGGCGAAGCAGAGGCTCTGAATGAAATTAAAAATAGAGAACGAAAAACAAAAAAAAAAAGGTGCCGCGCTCTGCCTATCTCAATTTTATGGTCGTGAAGGCGTCACTGAAAAGAGCAACAGTGTTGTCTACGCTCTTTGTCTTGCCATTTACTTTGTGCTCGTGCATGTGTGTGTGTGTGTTGGTGTGTGTGTGGTGGGCGGAGTCCAACTAGGCAGAGCTGTTTGTCTGCCCTTTTTTATAGCTGTCACCTTTCGGAAATAATCATATATGTGTCAGTGGGGGGACAGCACTTCGCTTCGTTTGCTTTAGCTTTTCTAGTTTTTCGCCAGCTATCTATTTTTCTTTTCGCATAAAGCACTTGCACACACACACACACGCACACAATGCAGGTGCTGAGAGAAAAAAAAAATAGCAGTAGTAGTAGTAGCTGCCCGAGCACATTTAGTTTTTCGTACGCTCTGGTTTTTACGCTCTAATTACGACTCCTACGAGCAGGCTCGCCTCCGCCTGCTCTGCCCCCGCTTTTGCCAACTGCCTGTCCTGCCAGGCACAAGCACACACACACACACACACGCACACAGCTTTTGCCCCGCCTGTTACTGTTTCTATTCCTCGCTCGTGGCTCGTGTGCAATTGCCATGGCGCGCAGTCTAAACAAGGCTCACTTGCCTGCTGCTTTCAATTTGCAATGGCGGCTGTCATTTCAGCTCAATAGCAGCCAACACCCTCCCACACCCACACCCACAACCACTCCCACTCCCACGCCCACCTGGGAGCCACCTGCGTTTTGAAAAATCGTTGCCAGGCTTAAATCATTTTTTTCTTCTTGCTTTTAGTATAAATTTAATACGGCATTTTAATTGCTGGAAAACAATTGCAGCATTGCGCAGCTGAAAGGCAAAGTAAACTTCAGATTTTGTTGGGCACAAAAGTTTTTAATAGATTATCAGGTTTCCAGTCAATTCACAGCTGCAGGCCCCGATGCATGCGTATGGCTGGATTTTTGTTCCGATTTCTGCTTAATGAGCAGCAAATTTTCATATATTTTGCATGGCTTCTGGCAGCTAATTTGCTGCAAAACGGCAAATGTGACGCAGCTGAGAGCCGTTAAGCCATTAATTAATTTAACAACAATTAAGCTTAAATTAAAGCTCATGAAATCCTTAAATTTGCAATGCTGCAGCACACACACACACACGCACACATTTGCCAGACCGAAAACCAGCAAGCGGAAACCAACTACTAGAAAAACGAACAGAAAAAAAAAACAGAACCGAAACGAAGCTAAAAATAAACATTTTACAACACTGGCGTACAATGAAATAAATATTTAGTTAAGTTTAAAACATTTGGTAATTAGTGCGTTGACTCGCTTTGGCCATGGCCGAGCTGTGTTGGCTACACACACCCCCCGCCCCCGCCTCCAAGCCCTAAAGCCGCATGCATCTGGCCAACTTTCTGCTCGCTTGCGAAAGTTTTAGACAGTTTCTGTTTTTTTTTTTTTTTGTTCACTCCCAACATTTTGTATTGTGCAAGATTTTTGCTAAATAAAGTTTATAATTACCATAAAATTCAGTGGAGTTCGATTTTCGGCGGTTGCCTGGCAGAGCTGCCTTTGAGCCATAATAGACACACACACAGAGCATGGGCGTGGCTGGGGCAATTCATAAACTAATACCAAACGGTATATGTGTATATGTGTGGCAAGAATTTATGGCAAGAAATATGGTCAAAGCGGAGTCGGAGCGTCATAAAGCACGCACACATGTTGCCAGCCCTGGCAGTTGTCCACGTTCCGGCTGCCTAGTGCAGCCCCCCTGGCTGCCCATTGGCTTTGTTTTGGAGCAAACGTGCGAATATTTTTGCAACTTTCGGTCGCAAGCTGCACAGGATACGGCACGGGCATATGGCAGTTCGGCTAGTTGAAGCAGGAGTTGGAGCAGAAGCAGGAGCAGCAGCAGCAGCAGCAGCAGCAGGAGCTGAGGCTTGACACTAGGTGTTGCCCATTTGGGCACTCAACATCAGCTCAGCTCTCTCTACCTCTCTCCCTCTCCCTCTCTCTCGCTCTTTCTAGCAGCAAATGCGCTTTTGGTTTTTGATTTGTTTTTGGTTTTGCGTATTTGGGTTTTGCATGCTGAAATATGCTTTATGCGTCTGGCATGTGGGCGTGGCATTGCCGCAACTGCTGCCAAATTCAATTCAATTGTCAACAGCCATGGCAGCACTAGCCGGAAAAAAGCTAAATGGACATCGGACACACACGCACACACATGCACACACACACGTGCACATTTGACTGTGGCCACAAGCACAAACAGGCGCCAGTTTTTGGTTTTAGGCTTAGCTTGTTTCACGCACAACCTGCGCCCCCCTGC